CTATTAGGTTGATGCATAAGTCTTTTGTTCCTTTTCGTCTGCCGTTTCAAGCCAACAAATGCACCAATTAAACTACGGTTGATTTCATTGGAAAACCAATTATTTTTCTGCAAAATAACATTCAAAACGGGTTTAAAAATATTTAATGCCTGGATTTTCTTGAGAGTATGAAGTCGGGTAGTCAAAAAGGGCTAACTCGATGATGCGGTTTAGACACCTTAGCTAAAGAAAACCTATCTTCGTGTCAATAGATAAAAGATAGAGAAAAACGTTTGATATTTCGCCAAAATTTCAGAGAAATTCATTCAGCCAATTTTTCCGTAGAGTTTTTATAGATTTTTACGAAAAAAGGCGTTTTTCACTCTCGAATTTGCTTGAAAGTGAACCGAAATTCATTTAAAAGATGCAAATTGAACAAAAACACTTTTTTTATAGAGCAAACTATAGATTAATTGGTGAATTTGTTACTTTTAACAGAAGTACGAAAAAACGAAAAGACTTATGCATCCAACCTATTAATTTAGCGAATGCACCATCGCAGTTAGAATAAAGTGTCTCTTATCTTTTCAATGAAAGCTCATGAACAAACCTATTAAAAATGAAACATTAAATATTAAATTAAACAAACTACAAACTATAAACTAAACTACAATCTTTAACCAGCACATATTATTGCCAAAATTTTAGCAAAAAAAAAAAACTTTTTCCCCCCACTTTTAACTTTGATATTCCGAATCTGAATCTCCATATTTTTGCTTATCAAATAGTATCAATCTTATTGTAAGCAGACAAGCGAATTGCTAAACTGCTGATAGAATTGGTCGCTGAATAAACTTACTAGATTACCAGATTTGACAAGGTGCTTATTTGAATTACTACTTTAGTAAGAAAATAGTATCCATAATCCAAAATGGCCCAATTCCCATTTTTCCATTCAATGATTGCTCTCTTCGAACTATTTCGTTCACTTTTTTAACCGAATCGAGCCGTTGGCAGAAATAGCCTCTTCTCCTCCCCCTTGGCAAGCAGATGTCAAATAATGCCCGAACTGTATCAATCGGTAGCGATATCAAAGAAAAGATCATTCATTTCTCTTCATTTGTCACTTTCAAAATCTTTTCTCTTTACCTATTTTTCAATTTAGATAATTTAGCTGCTTTGAAAATGTCTCTTTAGCAATTTAGCTGCTTTGGAAATGCCTCTTTTCGAGCGAGCTTTCTCCTTCTTGAACTGCACTCATTGCAAAAAGTTTTGTGAGTTTTAAAATCAACAATTAACATAATGAAATTTAACAAAGACTAACCCAAAGACAAAAGACAAAGACATTATCCAAATGAAATCATTTACCCTTTTTGATTTCAGTCTACACTGGAAAGGTGCTTTCATGTGAGAATCGCTCGAATCGCAACTGCTTCGATCATGAGGCCGTTTGTGGAAAGTCATGTAGTCACTTCATCTTTAATAACTTTTAAACAAGAAATTTTAAGCCAAAAGTTGACTTGACTTTGGCTTTTGTTTTGTCTATTAATTATGGGTAGTATTGTTTACTTCAAAATTATTTCTCAGGCACGATCATGCCGAATCGATTCACGCCATGAACAAGCAGCGCTACATCACCGAATTCGTCGCTCGTCGTCACGAGATTGAGGTGAGTGATGTCTATTAATTACGGTAGTAGTTGTTTACTTCACAAATGCTTCTGTTAAAGTTTGTACTTTTCAATCAACTATTCGACTCAAAACCAATTGCTAGGCCTGCATTAAGCTTGTCAGATCGGGCTGAAGCACAGAAAACATTAGATACAAAGTAAAATTCTATCTTCGAATTCTAAAATTCAGAAAAGATCCGTGATTTCCTCAACAAGATGGAGACGAAATTCTTTGATGGATTGATTGATCGTAAGGCTGAGACGAGCAATGCCAAACCTGCAGTACGTCGTTGAGCTGATCAATTGATCTATATCAATATAAGTCACAAATCAAGATCTTTAAGTTTGTAAGCTGACAAGAAGACAAATCTGAGATAGTTTATTGATTCTAGAATCAAAACAATTCAACTTTAGGTTGTTCCAAGCGAGATCGCGGTATCTGCTCAGAAGGACAAGGAGGACGATGATGATGAAAAGAGTGCGGACAAGAAGGACGATGATGATGAAAGAGCTACTATGCAGAAACTCAATGTTGGTTTAAACATTGAAAAAAAGGCATTTTGCTAATAAAGTATGTAGCTATTATTGAATTGAACTATTTCCAGCCCACTCGAGACCGGTGAGCTACTTGGAGAAGGTGAAGCCAGGATTGTCGCTAACAAACCACGCTCTCTTCCCGATGATGAGATTCGTGAGGTAGCTTACATGAATTATTAGATTATTGTTTCCTATTGCTTCGTGTAAATTCTATTTTTGAAAAGTTTATTCGTTTAGCGCACTGCACTTAAGAAGAAAGAGATCCGTGAAAATTTTAGCAGAAAAGAAAAATAGGAAATTAGGAGTGTATGTACATTTTGAATAGAGGAAACGTTTATTTCTTCTTGTAGACGGCCATATCAGACTCGTAGCGTTGCTTGTCCTTGTCGGCCAACTTTTCCCATTTCTGGAATTGATTTTGGTTTAAAAGTTTCCAGGATGGGTTACTGTATTTCGAGTGTGTATCTTTTCAACGGGTAAACTAGCTCCAGCTTTGATTGACATTTGATCACTTTACTTGGTGCTTTACTTGACGCTTTAAAGTTCTTCTAACTGACCGATTTATCCTTGAGCACTCTCCACTCTTCTCCAGCTGCTTTAGCGACATCAGCGACACCCATACCGTCTTTCTTGATGCGAGCGCGGTTCTCCTAGAAAGTCTTTTGATAAGTTAGGTCAGATAAGTACTGTAAGATTGTTTGATGAATGATTATTGTACTTACCCTAAGCCAGAAGAAGAAAGCAGACATAGCCGCTTTGGGGCATTCGGATCTTTCGTCTTCTTTCCACCGGTTCTCTTCACCGGAGCCTCCTTGTTTTTCGATCCAGTGGGACGTCCACGAGCCATCTGAAAATGTTAAAGAAATTCATTACTTTAAAGCTTTAGAATTACAAGATAATTTAAAAGAAAAAGAATTGTTTCCCCATTCACCATGTTTCCCCATTTTTTTTTGTGTGTGATCGCACGCGGCGACCGACCCATCGATCGCGCCATTATCGGTGAAGGGAAAAGGGAGCGACGCTGGCGCGAAATTGCCCCATAGACACAAACATTATAGAAATTTGCGCTCGAATTTGATACGATTTTTGAGAATTGTTGGATTATAGCGAAATGGGTATTCAGTCAAGGGATACTGTAGCTTTTAAGCTTCTCCGGCTGGGGTTACTATAGTTCAGCTATATTGTAACAGTGTGTTGCAAAAAGCTATGCATAGTTTAGGCTTACTGTAACTAATTCAAGAACCTAGCTATGCATAGTTTAAGCTTACTGTAACTAATTCAAGAACCTAGCTATGACTCTGATTGAGAGTAACAGCTGAGCCAAGAAATCCATTAGACATTTTATGAGATAAGTTTAGATATTTCTATACTAATAAGTAAAAAGATAGATTGTAGAAAGATTATGTGCGTGAAGAAGACTCTCTGCTGTGTGCAGTGTTCGCGTTATGGCTGGCTCTTTGCCGTGAAAGCCAATGAGAGTGGGCGTGGCTTGGCGTGACGCCCAAGCATCGCGTCCTTTCCTCTCGGCCACCCAACAATCGCATCGATTCATGGGGCGACCACGGGTGGGTGAGGGGAAAAGGGAATGGAGGCGAATACGAGCATCGCGGGTGTTCTTTTTGGGGATGGAGAAGAGATTGCAAGGGAACAGGGGTCCAAGGGTTGGCTAAGGGGATGGTCTCTTCTCTGTTACCAACCGCTCAACCCGGCACACATCCAAAAATGCCAAATGGCTTGGGTTTGGCACAACAATGGCGATTGAACGAAGAGTAAAAGAGTAAAGATTTGAAAAGGAACTATTCAAATAGCACGGAGGAGTTGAATTTGGATTTTTATTTTTAAGAATATCAAATAGGTTTTTGGTCACCGTATTTTCTCTAATAGCCCCGGTGAGCCGAGTTGGTGACGATTTTACGGTTTCCAAAGGTTTTGCAGAAGCTCAACACTCAAATCCCTCACTAGATCTCATCGTCAGCTACATTTTCCGACCCCACATCGATAGGTTCTGATAAGCGGTTCTCGAGATTTCGAGGAATTTAGGCGACGCTCGGGGTACACTACTATTAGAGAGAAGACGGTATATTATTCTAGGTTAGTCTAGTAGATCAGACTGATCTATTTCCCTAATATTTCCGGTGAGCCGAGTTGATGCCTATTTTACGGTTTCCAAGCTTTCGCCGAAGCTCAACACTCAAATCCCCCACTAGATCTCATCGTCAGCTACATTTTCCAATCCCACATCGATAGGTTCTGATAAGCGGTTCTCGAGATTTCGAGGAATTTAGGGTGCGCTACTATTAGAGAAAATACGGTAATTGGTGAATTTGTTATTTTTTTCAATGAAAGTACGAAAAGGAACGAAAAGATTTTCCAAAAATAAACTTACAGTACTGATTTGCTGTTCAAACTGTCGCAAATAAGGTATGCTTTAGCTAAGTTCTTTTAAAAGAAATAAAACTTAAGATTCAAGTTGTATCGACTATTGCATTGACTAGCACTAGAAATGAGTACACTAGTTGACTCGAAACTTAATTTTTAATTTCAGTCATGGAGAACCACAGTGACAGACGATCTTCGGAATCATTTCGCTAAGGAGATGATCTTCGGAGCCCACCATTCATTATAGAGTTGATCAAGCTGATCCTCGATATGTTCAACTTTCCGACTATGCAAAGAAATTGGAGGACAACTGTACAAAAAGGCGACTAGCACGGTGCGTTCAACTCTAGCATCACAGTTTTTGATAAAAATTGGTAAACGATTACTATCTAAAAGCAAAAAAAAGAGCTTAAAAGATGAGTCGAGAAAAAGTTAAATCGATTTATTTTCAGGAAGATTACGTTCACTTGATGGCTGAGAAAATTCGCGTGATTCAAATGAAATTAGCTCATCGCAGAGATTTCTTCGTAAAGTTTTTATGAATTTTTACGAGTCAAACACGTGTTTTCACTCTCGAATTTTGCCTGAAAGTTAACGAAAATTGACTTAAAAAGATAGGAAATTGAACAATAAACACTTTTTATTTCGAGTAAACCATAGGTTAATTGGTGATTTTGTTATTTTTCAACAGAAGTACTAAAAGGAACAAAAAGACTTTCTAGAATTGGCAATAATTTAAGACTCAAAATTAGCCGTCTTGTTCTTGATAATTATAATATTACAGGACCTCGATGATGACCTTCCTGAGATTGTTGAGATGATCAATTGTGTGGCCAATGGACGAGCAGTTGATGATCAGTCGGTAAATCTTCATATCGTGAAGAAAGGCTTCGTTTTGTTCAGAAATGGTGTAAAAGCTCAAAGGAGTGTGTCGACGATGCGTTGAAGAAGGACCCGGATACCCCAAAGCGGTCCATGTCTGCTTTCTTCTGGTGGCTTGCGGTGAGTACAATAATCATTCATCAAACAATCTTACAGTACTTATCAAAAGATTTTCTAGGAGAACCGCGCTCGCATCAAGAAAGACGGTATGGGTGTCGCTGAAGTCGGTAAAGTAGCTGGAAAAGAGTGGGGAGTGCTCAAGGATAAATCGGTCAGTTAGAGGAACTTTAAAGCACCAAGTAAAGTAATCCAATGTCAATCCTGGAACTCGTTTACCCATTGAAAAGATCTTTGTAGTCACAATACACCGCTCTATTACAGTAATCCAATAACCACCTAGGTTCTCGCCTTACCCAGACTACGCATAGGTCCAACTTGTAGCCGAAATACAGTAACCCATCCTGGAAACTTTTTAAACCAAAACAAATTCCAGAAATGGGAAAAGTTGGCCGACAAGGACAGGCAACGCTACGAGTCTGATATGGCCGTCTACAAGAAATTTTCCTCTATTCAAAATGTGCATACAATCTAATTTCCTATTTTCTTTTCTATGACATTTTCCACGGATCTCTTTCTTCTTAAGTACATTGGGCTAAACGAGTAAACTTTTCTTCGAAAACAGAATTTACAAGAGCAATAAACGATAACAAAAACTTAACAAAATATTAACAGCAACAGCTCAAAAGCAAATGTTCTAAAAATTTCTCTTCACTCTTTTCTTCGTCTTCCGTATCATCGTTGTTCCTGTTCAGCACCAAATTGACGCTGAAATTGTAGAGACCCTGATTGGCTCTTTGCAAGCGAACGACCTAAAAGAAAAACAAATCGTTATCGAAGTAAAAAGACCAGGACAATGATTTTATATGCACAAACCTCTCGGCGTAGCCTCTCCACCTCATCGTCACCACCATCTTCGAACAATGAATGCATTTGTGAATCTAGATACAATAAATAAGTATTTAATACTTAAAAGTAATCATACCATTTGTTTCCAACTCCGAATTAGGATCCTTGTGTTTCTAAAACCAATTCTTTTTACATAAAAATCAGACAAACCAAATTCTTCAACGTATCATCGATACACTCCTTTGAGATTTTACACCATTTCTGAACAAAACGAAATCTCTCTTCACGATATGAATATTTTTACCGGCTGATCATCAACTACTCGTCCATTGACCACACAAAGCTCATCTATCCTGGCATTTGTGGCGATTTTCGGTCGACTAGCCGGCTGGTCAAAAGTCATGGAGTGTAGTGCCGGATAGTTGGGCACAAATTCGAGAGAAGAGATCGCGCCTTTCATCGTTGAAACCGGAAAAAAATCACTACAATACTTATATCGCTATGGTACGGACATGACAGTAGTATTATATAGTATGTGTAAGAGCAGTCAAATTTACTAAGAATCTTGAAGTACCTTGATACATTGCCGGCTTGCAATATCCCATAGACAATATTTGCCGCTCATATCTCCACTCGCCAATAAAGTTCCATCTGCGTTAACGGCCAACATTGAGATTTCACACGAATGACCAGCAAATATCTGGAAGCAAAATTACAAACCAATCATATAAAAAACCTTACTGGAATTGTGTCATTGTCGCTAGTGGTTTGAATGAGAATTTCTTGACGATTTCCATGAATATGAGATTTTCCATCCAACGCTTAAAAACTTACGATGTCATAGAGGTTGACTTGAGCAATTCGTCCCCTATCAGTTCCGAGAAACACCCTCGTTTCTGCCTTGTCTATTGCACAAGCGGTAAGCGGTCGTTCAGCTGATATCTAAACAAAAGTCACATTAACTAGTAATTTTGAATAAGTTTCAGTCCCTTTCATTAACATTCTAAAGAATATCTGGTAATCAATCAATTCTTAAAATCCGATTTTATTCTTCTTACAATCAAAAGTGCTCATTTCGTACCTTTAGCAAACAAGCATCCATAGAGATTGAGTGCAAAAAGGCAACATGATCCATTCCAACGGAGAGAATACGAGGCGATCCACCACAAGAAACGGCAATCGACGAAATTGCAAGCGAATGGGCTTTGGTTTTGCGGACTGGGTAAATCGTTGATTGACGATCCAAGTTTACAATGCTAAATCGAAAATCTAGGAAAAGCTAGTTACGGTATTCTTTTTCCATCGCAAAGCAATTTTTTAGATTATTTAAATATTTGGATAGACTACCTTAAGATCTGAAATAAACTCACTCAGCAACCAGATAAACATGAATCGATCCATCAAGTGATGCGGTGATCAAGAGAGACGAATCATTTGAAATGGCCATATCCGAAATACTTTGATAGTGTGCGTCGAAGGAGGCAACGAGGTACCCAGAAGTCAACTAAAATAATCAAGTTAACTGCAACTGTTCAACATTTACCATCCAGACGTAAACTCTTGTCTTAATGGCGACAAAGAGCAATAATCCGTCTTTGGAAGTGACAAAAGTCGTCGCAGGCTCAGGAAGATAAGCCTAGAGAAACATTTTTAAAGTCTGTCTAGAACGATAGCTTACCATTGAATGATATCGATCTTTTGGATGCAAGCCTTTGATGTGGATGATTGGTCGTTCATTGACATTGACGAGGAAATGCTTTCCATCGACTCCTAAACTTTGTTAAATTAAAAATGATGTTAACAGTTAAGACTTTAAATCCTCTCCGGTTGACCTAACTCGCAAAAAGATACCAATCGGCTTCGCACTCCCGACTGTTCCATTCTGCAACTCGGTGCCCTTGTAAGTCCATGATGAGATGCCCGTCCATGGGTTGATTGACATGACCGAATAGGGATCGGAGCTTTGACAACCGATGAAGAGAAGCTAAACAAGAAGAATTGGATAAAATTTGTACAGCAATGGTTCTTTTTGACTAAAAAATCCCTAAGATTAAGCAAAACCAAATGTAAGCCAAAAGTCTAGTCGGTACTTTAGTGGCAAGCCTGCACTTAGGCCCGGAGTGGGGGTAGGTGCTGCAAGCTTTCTACATAGCTCAGGCGCACCCCCAACCTGGGCCTGCCTAAGTGCACCCCCAACTATACGCCATTCTGGCTCACAAAGCCAAATGTAAACATGAAAATTTGCATACAAAAAAATTTTTTGCCAAAAAGCCTTGATTTTGCGTTTCTTCCGAGGTTGGAAAAGTCTTTTATTAAAGCAAATCTGTGTTAAAAATGCGACTGTGTTAAAAATGACCCAGTGTACTCGATTACCCTAGAAAAAGTCGAACAATCGGAGATATAAGTGCCCCCAACCACCCAAGTACCGTCTAGTCTTATTATGTCACTGGTAGGGTCAACGAGATGGCATGAACAAGCTACTGAATCGCGGGCACTGTTTCCAATACGTAAAACACCAAAAATTATTTCTCACCTCAAGTGGTTTTGAGTTTTTCGCTGCGTTTTTCGTTGAAGCAAACATCTCTGGCAATCTGGAAAAACGTAAACGAAGCGTAAACGAAAATAAAAATGGGGCAATGAAAGGAATTCAGTTTTTCTTTTTGTTTTATAAACACAAATGACGACGATTCAATAACTTTAAAAAGTTCAAAAAGATATTCAGCTAATGGTATGTTAAAGTATATTAAAAGAAAATGTTGAAAAGAAAATGTTATTTCATGGAAGTTGTGTTTTTTTTTAAAAGCCTAATGCGTCAAAACGACGTTGAAGATCATAAATTTGACAGAATACACACCTCTAGACGGAAATCGTATGGGCTTTCGAAGAATTACAATCAATGAGCCCACAAAAAACTCACACAACCTATCGACATTTTGGTGAAAAGCCAACACCTCGTCACAGAGAAAACACCGCATAAGTCTGGAATTTGTAGATGGGAAAAGGAAAATTTTGGAAATATGTATCTACAAACGATTTTTGGCCAAAATATATTTTGCTTCTGTCTTATACCTACATCTAGTATCAGACTTTACAGGTCAAAAGCAGCTCCACTTCACTTTTACCCGTGATTTTTGTTCTTTTCTTTATTGTTTTTCTTTACTATATCAGATTATTTTGTTTTTTTCAGATCAATGATCGATTCAATTGGCAGCGGGGCCTCAAATTCGACAACATCAAATAACGCGGTACTTTATTTGCGGCATTTTTAAAAATTTCTCAGGTCGGAATTTCAATTTTAGAACAACGAGGTGATTTTGGCGGCTTTCGAGGCAAAGAGGAGAGCAGAGTACGTTTTATAATTGCTTTGGGGAAAGTAAAGTTGGAGGCATTCTCCTAACTTTTTACCGTCTATTTTTTTTTATTTAGAACATGTCCCGCTTGTGATCCAGAGCTATCGACGTTGGAAATTGAGGCGGCAGCCGCTGTTCGAGAGGTTTCATTCGCCGTACAGAACATCAGCGTGTCGGAAATATTGCCGAGGTATGTGATTTCGCTTTTTCCCTATCTAAAATGTGACTAAAAGTGGCTTACGTGTTGAAATTACCTCGATTATGGCAATGGATTACGCTGGCTGAGAAAAACTGCATTTTTTACGTTTTCAAAACGTTTCACTTAGAACAACCGAATTGATGTTTCTGAATCTAACGACAAAGGAAGGATCTTCTTACTGCATTGAATTGACGATAAAAGGATGGCGGATAGCATCAAATAGGTGAGTCTATTTGTTGTTGAACAGTTGAATATTTGTTTAATGTCGTAGCCGATTATGAATGAAATTTTTTTGGACACCTTTCTAGTAGAGCAACCCTTTAATGTAAGAGGACAATATTATATCATTTTGTAGCGAATTAAATTCTGCGTTGAATGGTACCAAATACTGGATGGTTTGACGCGTCTAGACCCACTCATTTATAATCGACTACGACATATAATTGTTTGTTTTAGAAACGATTGCATGAATGGTGACTTCCTTCAAATCGACACTCACACGCGCTACTTCATGACGATCTAGAATTGCTTGACTACATTTCACCTGAATATCGTAATTCATTTGGCCAAAGTTTGATCAATAAATTGACACAACTAGAAGCACCATAGAGATTTACGTATTGTTGTCGAATTGTGTGATTTTTTGCTTTAGTGTCTTGATGAATAAATCCTTTTAAAAGTTTAATAATGATACAATTGGTTTATTTGGCCATGCTATTCTTTAATGACCATGTAAAAGAATGTTATTTGGTCATTTGCACAAAGTTTTACGGATTTTATTTTAAGGTATGCGGTGGTTGGCGGTTTTACTGCTGGCCTCCATGGCCGATGAGTCTCGACGGCAAAACTTCAAGGTGGTTTTGCTGCAATGTCCATCGATTTTGGATCCAAGTTCTTAAAGGTAAAGCATCAGTTCTTACAAATGTTGAGCTATCGGTTATGGATAAAAGGAAACAGTTCAAAAACTTTAAAATTTGATCGCGGAGTGAAAGATTAGTAAGCTCTGGTTTTAGATAGGCCTCGTCAAACCGGGTGTTTCTATGGAAATCGTGCTAAACAAGGAGAGTCGTCGGAAAACGCCAGCACTCATTCACATAAAAGATGGAGAAAGGTTATTGTTTAGTATTAATGTATTAATATGGACATTTTAGAGTCTTTGGTGATCCGGCAATGCAGATTACAAGTCGGCACCCAACATCCGTATACGGGAATCTTTCTGGACCTTGTCGCAAAGCCAATCGACCATCCAATTGTGAAGCAATACCTGGAAAATTACCCACACTTGTCGCTGATTCCGACGAACCGATCAACCGTCGCTCTACCTTTTGGGTAAGTTTGAAAAATTAATGCTGTTAAGGAGACTGTATAGTTAAAGTCTCATCTTGCCACAGAACCCAAAACAAAATTTTAAATTTTAGTGAAGAAGCATACGCCATCGAAACGGTGCTTGCCATGATTTTGTCGAATGCTCGGGAAGCTGCCGAAGCTTTCGCTGAACAGACTATCAAAGTGAAATTTTTTAAAAAGTGCACCAACTTCTCGTTGTTTAGGATGTCGTCATTTCCGTCCCCGCATTCTTCAATCAAGCTGAAAGATTGGCGATTCTCAATGCTGCAAAATTGCAAAATTGAATTTACTTCAGGTATTTTCTTAGCGTTTGGTCGGGTTTATCCTTTTTAGTTGATCAACGATGGAACAGCAGCTGCCCTTAGCTGTGAGTCTTTGGACGGAAAGAAGTTAATTTTCACAATCTGTGCATAAAACTGGCTAATTTAGTTATCCGAGAAACAACAGCGGCTTTTGATTTATGATATGGGAGCCTCAAAAACAATAACTACTTTGGTTGAATACAAAGTTTGGCTTAAATCAAATTAATTTAAAAGTTCCATTTGTAGATTGCTAAAGACAAAAGGGATACAAAGAACCCCATCTCACCGTTTTGGGAATTGGCTATGATAGGTTTATTGCTTTCACAGTTTATTGATGTATTTTTAGAACGCTTGGAGGCGAATTGATCACTTTGCGGCTACAAAAGTTATTGGTTGAGAAATTCCGTCACAATTACAAGACCGAAGAGGACATTGCCACTAATCACAAAGCTATGGCCAAAATGTACAAAGAGGGCGGAACGTGTGAAACAAGTAAGTTGAAGAAAACTCAAATGAATAACAAACGATAGCATTTTAGGTTCTTTCTGCAAACCTGGATCACTTTGCGCAAATCGAGAGCGTGCACGAGGATATTGTGCGTTTAAAATGGAATTGATGTTCTATGAAATATTTAGGATATGCGGCTGAGAGTCACAAGAGAGGAACTAAACGGACTAATTGTGGATTTGGACGAACGGATTCTCGCGCCAATTGATGGAGCTCTTGAGATGGCCGGATTGGACTATGGATCAGGTAAAACATGAAACAATTAGAGGCATTGCAGACTTTATTGAGATATAAAACTTATTTTGATGAGTATCTACATTTAAAAATTATGTTTAGGTTGATCAAATCGTCTTGATGGGTGCTGGAACTCGTATTCCGAAGTTCAAGATTTGATGCAAACGAGAATTGGAAGGTTTTTTAACAATTTATAATTGAAGTAACTTTGGTTTCAGCAAAGAAATCGGCCGTTTCTTGAATACTGATGAGTCGATTGCTCTTGGTAACTAAAGTCTAACTTAAATTTAATCATATTTTTCTTTAGGTGGTCTTTACCAAGCGGCTTTCTTGTCAAAGGGATTCAAAGTGAAGACGTTCTACGTTGAGGAATTGCAGATATATCCCGTCCAAGTATGAGTGTCGGCAGATATTCTAGATTTTGAATCTTTTAGGTTCACTTCCATTTCGAAGCATAAAGATGAGTACACCCAAAAAGTTGCGGAAAAAGACATCAAGAAATCAATTTTTCCTTACAAATCTTTGTATCCTACAGCAAGAAAGGTTGCTTTGATGTTTGCAGTTATGTTATTACTTTTCTTTTAGGTGATGACTTTACTTCTTATCAAGACGATTTTGCTATTGGACTACACTACGGAGACCTCTCGCACTTTTCGGCTGACCAGAAGAAATGTGATCTTGAAACTAATTAAGTCTCTCAAAGTTAAATAAGATGTTTAGTTTGTTCGGCAGCACTCACTTCAATGACATCAAAATTGGTGGTCTCAAGAAAGCGCTCGACGATAAGCTAAACCCCGAAGAAAACGAATTCAAAGGAGTCAAGGTTTTTTGTGTCAACTTTGAGGTATAACTTTGCAATTTTCTAGGTAGGTTTTTCGCTGGACTACTCAGGATTGGTTCGAATTGATGGCGCCGAGGCAATCATTGAGAAAAAAGCCCAAGGGTGTTGTGGAATGTGAGTTATTCGAACTTTCTCTTCAATGATTTAACTTTCAGCTTTGACCAATACGATTAGCGGTTTCTTCTCGGGTGAAGGCAAGAAAGATGAGGGTGACACGACCGAGGGAAAAGTTGAGGATCCAACGGGTAAATCGGCTGGAACAAATCAAGATCAAGTAAGACTTGTAAAGGATGATTTTTTTTTCTAAACATGTATTTTAGAGCACCGAAAGCCACCGAAAAACCCGACAAGAAGGAAGACGAGAAACCAACCGAGAAAGGAAAGACCGAAGAAAAATCGACGAACAAAACCGAGACTGCCAAGGAAATACCAACGACAACCAAGGTTTTGAATAAATTGAAGAAGTTTTCAAGAAAATTTAGGTTAAACTATCAGTCACGCGAGATCACAAGGACATCAAACCGGTGAGCGTCGACGAGGTGAACTCATCCATCAGATTGTTGGTTTTTTTTTTAATTGCTAAGCAATTGCAATTTTAAGATTGGAACGCTTTGAGAAAGAAGAAGTTTTGCGGGCCGAACGTCACTCCGCCGAGAATGAGCTGGAAGCATTTGCATTTGAAGTTTGTTTATAATTTTGATCTTAATTCAATTTTTTAGGCAAGCACCTTGATTGACGAGGAGAAGTTCATTCTTCATTCAAATGAAGTTGAACGACAAAAGTTGCAAGCGGAGGTAAGATATTGATTAGAGCAAAGATTAGAAAATGTACGACCCCTTGACTTCATCAAATTTTTATTTTAGGTGACACGAGTTCGGGCTTGGCTTGAAGATGACACGCAACCATCGACTCCAACAAAAGATTTCAAAGACAACTACAAGAAGATCAAGGAAATCGTTGGAGCCGATCAACAAACGAATCTCGAAACACAAGTGGATTTTAGAATAAAATCTTTTGCATTGAGAAATTAATGCCCTTTGCCAACGCCATAAGTCTATTGTTTAGAATCGCCCACCGGCTTTGGAAGAATTGGAGAAATTGATCAACACAACGATCCAACTTGTCACGCTCACAAAGGCAAACTTCACCGAAACGGCCACTGTAACAGAGGGAAAAGAAGTAAAAGCAGTGAACGATGAAATTGCATCGTTCAGCACGAAAATTGACAAGGTTTGTAGCATAAGTTCGCATCAAGTAAAATAAAGTTTAGCTCGTAACATGGCTGACAAGCAACAAGAAGCAACAGGCCAACTTGCCGATTAATGAGGACTCCGTGCTGAAAACGGAGGATATTAAGAGCAAGGTTACTTTGTATTATTTTGTTGTTTTAAAACTTTTCTTCAGACATCCGCTTTGCAACGAGCTTTTGCGCAACATTTCCAAAAGTTGACACGGTTGACGGAAGATGTCGTCAAAGCAAAAAAGAAAGCGGAACGAGAAGCAAAGAAGAAAGCTGCTGAAGAGAAGAAAGAGGTAAAGACTTGAGTAAGAATATAAGAGAAGTTATAATTTTTTAGACTACCGAGTCAAAAGCCGAGCCACCAAGCGAGGAACCCAAAGAGACGCAAGACGGAAAAGTCGAAGAAGAGAAAACGGAGCTGTGAAGAATCACCTCGGATCTTTAGGGTTTTTAATTTATTTTTGTTTTTTGAAATTCTACGATCGATAAGGGTATTTTCCTTGTTCATTGATAGTCACTTTTCATCTGTTTTTATAAAATTTTTCGCCCTTTATATTAACGTCCTTTAGATTAAAGCCCTTTATATTAAAGCCCTTTAAATTAAAGCCCTTTAGATTAAAGCCCTTTATATTAAAGCCCTTTAGATTAAAGCCCTTTATATTAAAGCCCTTTATATTAAAGCCCTTTATATTAAAGCCCTTATATTAAAAGGTCTTTAGATTAGCTCCTTTAGAATAAAGCTCCTTTATATTAACGTCCTTAGATTAAAGCCCCTTTATATTAAAGTTCTTTAAATTAAAGCCTCTTTATATTAAAGCTCTTTTTGATAAATTAAAAAAGCCCTTTATATTAAAGCCCCTAGATTAGCCCTAGAATAAAGCCCTTATATTAACGTCCTTTAGATTAAAGCCCTTTAGATTAAAGTTCTTTTTATATTAATCAAGTCCTTTAGATTAAAGTTTTTCCTTAGATTAAAAGCCTCAGTTCAAAGTCCCTTTGGATGGCTTTATTTATCGGTCCTAGATTGTTCTAGATTTAGTATCGTCCCAAATGAGTGCCTTTAGATTGTCTAATAGCCCTCAGAACAATGCCGTGCAAATAAAGTGCCTTATATTAAAATTGTTTGATGATGTTCGGGCCCTCTTAGATTACTTTGTATTAAGCCTTTAAGGGTTGTAAAAGTCCCTTGGATTAAAACCCTTGAATAAACTTAAGATCAAGAACTCTTGACAAAAAGTTTTATATTAAAGCCTTATTATAAGTCCCTGCTCTGTTTCTCCTGATCAAGTCCCTTTAGATCAGGTAAAGTCTTTATATTAAAAGCCCTTTAGATTAAAAAAGCCCTTTAGATTAAAGCTCTTAGATTTTGAAGCCTTAAATTGAAGCCCCTTAGATTAAAGCCCTTTATAAAGGATTAAAAAAGCCCTTAAATTAAAGTCTCTTTAGATTAAAGCCCTTTTAGATTAAAGCCCTTAGATTAAAGCCCTTTAGATTAAAGCCCTTTAAAAGGGCCCTTAGATTAAAGCAGATTAAAGCCCTTAGATTGTAGCCCTAGAATAAAGCCTTAAATAAAGCCCTAAATAAAGCCCTTTATATTAAAGCCCTTTATTAACGTCCTTAGATTAAGCCCTTTAGATTAAAGCCCTTAAATTAAAGCCCTAGATTAAAGTTTTCCTTAGATAAAGTTCTTAGAATAAAGCCCTTTATATTAACGTCTCCTTAGATTAAAGCTCCTTTTATATTAAAGTTCTCTTTAAATTAAAGCCCTTTAGATTAAAGCCCTTTATATTAAAGTTCTTAAGATAAAGCTCTTAAATTAAAGCCCTTTAAATAAAAGCCCTTTAAATAAAAGCCCTTTAAATAAAGCCCTAGATTAGCCCTAGAATAAAGCCCTAAATAAACGTCCTTTAGATTAAAGCCCTTTATATTAAAGCCCTTTAGATTAAAGCCCTTTAAATTAAAGCCCTTTAGATTAAAGCCCTTTAGATTAAAGCCCTTTATATTAAAGCCCTTTAGATTAAAGCCCTTTAGATTAAAGCCCTTTAGATTAAAGCCCTTTAGATTAAAGCCCTTTAGATTAAAGCCCTTTAGATTAAAGCTCCTGAAAAGCCCTGAAAAGCTCTGATAAAGCCCTTGATTAAAGCCCTGATAAAGCCCTAGATTAAGTTTAGATAAAGCCCTGAATAAAGCTCCTTTATATTAAAGCCCTATATAAAGCCCTTATATAAAGCCCTTATTAACGTCTCTGATAAAGCCCTGATTAAAGCCTTAAATTAAAGCCCTTTAGATTAAAAGCCCTTTGTGATTAAAAGCCCTTTAGGAATAAAAGCCCTTTATATTAACGTCCTTTAGATTAAAAGTTCTCTTTATATTAAAGCCCTTTAAATTAAAGCCCTTTAGATTAAAGCTCCTTTATATTAAAAGCTCCCTTTAGATTAAAGCCTTTAAATTAAAGCCCTTATATTAAAGCTCTTTTATAAAAGCCTTATATTAAAGCCTCTTAGATTAGCCCTTCTAGAATAAAGCTCTTTATATTAACGTCCTTTAGATTAAGCCCTTAGATTAAAGCCCTTTAGATTAAAGCCCTTTAGATTAAAGCCCTTTAGATTAAAGCCCTTTAGATTAAAGCCCTTTAGATTAAAGCCCTTTAGAATAAAGCCCTTTATATTAAAGCCCTTTATATTAAAGCCCTTTATATTAAAGCCCTTTATATTAACGTCCTGATTAAAGCCCTAGATTAAAGCTCCTTTAAATTAAAGCCCTTAGATTAAAGCCCTTAGATTAAAGCCCCTTAGAATAAAGCCCTTTATATTAACGTCCTTTTAGATTAAAGTTCTTTATATTAAAGCCCTTTAAATTAAAGCCTTTAGATTAAAGCCCTTTATATTAAAGCCCTAGATAAAGCCCTTAAAATTAAAGCCCTTTATATTAAAGCCCTTTATATTAAAGTCCCTTTATATTAAAGCTCCTTAGATTAAAGCCCTTTAGATTAGCCCTTTAGAATAAAGCCCTTTATATTAACGTCCTTTAGATTAAAGTCTTAGATTAAAGCCCTTAAATTAAAGCCCTTTAGATTAAAGCCTTTTAGATTAAAAGCCCTTTATATTAAAGCCCTTTAGATTAAAGCTCCTTAGATTAAAAGCCCTTTAGATTAAAGCCCTTTAAAGAATTAAAGTCTCTATGACATCGTAAATTTCTTTAAGCGTTGGATGGAAAATCTCATATTCAGGGAAAATGTCAAGAAATTCTCATTCAAACCACTAGCGACAATGACACAATCCAAAAGGTTTTTTATATGATTGGTTTTGTAATTTTGCTTCCAGATATTGGCTGGGTCATTTGGTGAAATCTCAATGTTGGCCGTTAACGCAGATGGAACTTTATGGGCGAGTGGAGATATGAGCGGCAAATATTGTCTATGGATATTGCAAGCCGGCAATGGATCAAGGCAATTTCAAGATTCTTAGTAAATTTGACTGCTCTACACAAACTATATAATACTACTGTCATGTCCGTACCAAAGCGATATAAGTATTGTAGTGATTTTTCCGGTTTCAACGATGAAAGGTGCTGATCTCTTCTCTCGAATTTGTGGTTATCCGGCACTACACTCCATGACTTTTGACCAGCGGGCGAAGTCGACCGAAAATCGCCCATAATCGCCGTAGTCACGGGACGAGTAGTTGACGATCAGCCGGTAAAAATATTAATATCGGAGAAGAGAGATTTCGTTTGCAGAAAATGGTGGAAAAATCTCAAAGGAGTGGATCGAGGATACGTTGAAGAATTTGGTTTCTGATTTTTATGTAAAAGAATTAGTTTTAGAAACACAAGGATCCTTAATTCGGAGTTGGAAACAAACGGGTAGGGGATTACTTTTAAGACTCTCATCATCATCGTCCTTCTTGTCGCACTTCTTTCATCATCACGTCCTTCTGTCGCACTCTTCATCATCATCGTCCTTCTTGTCGCACTCTCATCATCATCGTCCTTCTGTCCTTCGAGCAGATACCGCGATCTCGCTTGGAACAACCTAAAGGTGAATTGTTTTGATTCTAGATTTTGTCTTCTTGTCAGCTTACAAACTTAAAAGATCTTGATTTTGTGACTTATATTGATATAGGATCAATAGATCAGCTCAATGATGTACAGGATTTGGCATTGCTCGTTCCCAGGTTTTACGATCATCAATCCATCAAAGAAGAATTTTTGCCCATCTTGTTGAGGTAAAATCACGGATCTTTCTGAATTTTAGAATTCGAAGATAGAATTTTACTCTTGTATCTAATGTTCTTTCTGTGCTTCAGCCCGATCTGACAAGCTTAATGCAGGTTCAGTAATTGGTTTTTGAGTCGAATAGTTGATTGAAAAGTACAAAGGAACTTAACAGAAGCATTTTGAAGTAAAACAACTACTACCGTAATTAATAGACATCACTTACCCTCAATCTCGTGACGACGAGCGACGAATTCGGTGACGTAGCGCTGCTTGTTCATGGCGTGAATCGATTCGGCATGATCGTGCCTGAGAAATGAATTTTGAAGTAAAAAACAATTACTACCCATAATCTAATAGATACAAAAGCCAAAAAGTCAAGTCAACTTTTGGCTTAAAAATTTCTTGTTTAAAAAGGGTTATTAAAGGATGAAGTGGACTTACATGCATCTCTTCCACAAACGGCCTCATGATCGAAGGAATTGCGATTCTCACATGAAAGCGCCTTCAAGTAGGTAGCCGACTGGAAATCAAAAAAGGGTAAGTCTGTTCCTGCTTCATACTGATAGTCTTTTGTCTTTGTTAAATTTCATTATGTTAAGTGTTGATTAAAACTCACAAAACTTTGCAATGAGTGCAGTTCAAGTAAAGGAGAAAGTTTCTGCTGGAAAAGAGACATTCAATGCAGCTAAATTGCTAAAGAGACATTCAAGCAGCTAAATTATCTAAATTGAAAAATAGGTAAAGAGAAAAGATTTAGAAAGTGACAAATGAAGAGACATGAATCCGGGATCTTTCTTTGATATCGCTACCGATTGATACAGTTCGGGCATTATCTGACATCTGGGGTTACGAAGGGGGAGGAGAAGAGGCTATTCAAGCCAACGGCTCGATTCGGTTAAAAAGGGAAGGAAATAGTTCGAAAGAGAGCAATAATTGAATGGAAAATGGGAAATTGGGCCATTTTGGATTATTGATACTATTTTCTTACTAAAGTAGTAATTCAAATAAGCACCTTGTCAAATATGGTAATCTAGTAAAGTTTATTCAGCGGCCAATCTCTATCAGCAGTTTAGAAATTCGCTTGTCCGCTTACAATAAGATTTGATACTATTTGATAAGCAAAAATATGGAGATTCTGATTCCGAGTATCAAAGTTAAAAGTGGGCAAAGCTTTCGTTAAAATTTTGGCAATAATATTGCTGG